CAGTTAAATACACTCCAAGATACAGAGCGATATTACAGTGGCTGTATTATTATTTTATAATAAAAATTCGCAAAATTTACAGAACTCATTTTGAAAAGAAGCCCCCCACCCACCTCACCTCTTCACTTTGCAAAAGTAGCCTCGAAAAGAAGCCCATTTTGAAATGAAGCCCATCTCAAAAAGAAGCCCATCTAAAGTTCTCAAAAACAAGAAGCCCAGGGCTTTAATTCGATGTTTTATGGTAGTACGAGGATAAGTGCAGATAGCAAAAGTGCAAATGGTGATTGCGCCACCATCGTCGATTAGAAGTTAGATTTCATTAGGTTTGCGTAAATGCTGTAAATCTCTTTGAACAGGACAGATTGATAGGCCTAATAATGTTTTTTTGGTGATAAGCACACAGATATTTGAATGATGACTGCGCCACCATCGTCGATTAAAAGTTACATTTACTTCTGTTTGTGTAAGTAAATGTTGTATTTTAACACGCGTGAGGCCGTTTTACAGTAAATAAAAAAATAACGCAGTACACTATACTGAAAATTAAAGAGTAGGGATTGTCTCCCGGTGTACTGCCCAATCACTACCAGAAGGACCACACAAGTAAATGGTTGTAAAATAATTTTATTCCTAATGGCCACTTAATTTTGCAAATTGCACGTAAAACAAGTGTTTGTTTGTACATAAATAAACAAATCAAAATTAAAATAAAGTCGTATACTAATAGTCCCTTTTCTGAGAAAACCTGATTTCTGTTACCTGAACAGCAAAAAGAAGAGGAAACGTGATGACTTGGATTTATACATATATATGTACTGGTATAATTTATAATACGAAACATGGAAAAATAAAGTAAAAGGTATGGTAGAAGCACAACCAAATATATAAATAGGTGAGACACATCATACATAACACAGGCCAGAATTTTTCACCTTTCTCCCAGATTTTAAATACAGTATTCAAAAATCTGTATTTCATCAAAGCATTTCAACAACAGGACGCATCTCGGGACATCAAAAAGGTTATAACTCTGGTGTCGCGTATCACTGCACGCTTAATGTCCAATGATCGCCACAAAAACCATTCAATCAACATATCGTAAAATCTTACATTGAAGCTCTGGGTTTTTTTTTTTTCTTTTTTTAGTTTTTTTTTTAATTTATTTTTTTTTGCGAACTTAGGATAGGCTTCTTTTAGAGATGGGTTTCTTTTCGCGATTGGCTTCTTTTCGAAGCTGCTTTTGCAGTGTATAAACGGAGGGCATTCTTTTCAAAATGAATGCCATCAATTTTGGGAATTATTAATACAAAACAATAAATCGGGCCACTGTAACATCAGCCTGCGTCATGGAGTGTATTAACCGAGAATAAATCATCTAAACTGCTGTATACACCAAACATGTTTTACATTTTTTTATTTCCTTGAAATTCATGCACAGTGTATGTACTGTACTATCTCGAAAAAAAAACAATGCTATCTTGAAATTAGCTTCTTTTCGAGACCGACTTTTTTTTTTCGAAGGCTACTTTTGCAAACTAAAGAGGGGCTTCAATTCTAGGTGGGCTTCTTCTCAATATTAAGCTCATTGGGCTTCAATTTAAGGTTTTACTGTATTACAATATGAGTAGAATTCATTCAACAGTTGTAATATTGCGCCTTCTTTAGTTAACGATAGATTTAAATATTATTAGGTACACCTGGCATGCTGTATTAAGCTGTGCTTTCTTAACAAAGGGGAGTCAATTCGAGTCGAGTATCTCAGTATAGTAGAAATAAAGTTCTTGGTGTTTTGGATATCATTGCGTACTATATTTATATTCGTGTCAAGGATACGACATCAACATATGCATTAATTATCAATAATTATTATTAAATCCTTGCTTAGTGGAGTGGAGGAGGAGAAATGGATCTTTTAGCAGCTTAGCTCAGTCGGCTAAATTGGTGGTTAGTCGACGTGTGCACGCTGAACCGTAGAGATCCTTTTAGATCTTTGGTCACTGGCTCAACTCCTTCCGCTGCTTTTCTTGTTTTTCAGCTGGATCGACTGAAATACAAACTACGACAGAGCTGCTAAGACTAAGTTTTAGTAGAATTTCTTTTCTCTCTCTCACACTCTCTCTTCTCCCCCCCCCCCAAGCCTTTGATAAATATTAATTAATAACGTAAAAAAGTGGGGAAAAAATATTATATGATACATTGTAAACATACACTCGCAGTAGAGGTCATGAAAATATTCATGAAAAAAAGGATTAGAAGCGATTAATTACGAGCTTTCATCGATAAACGGAAGCTTTATTTACAATTCTCGTGAGAAAAACACATGAATGATACTGGATGAATGTATACTTTTATTATTTGTCTTTCTTTATTTTTCCCCGGTCTCTCGGCGCCACTGTGTACTACTGGAAACATGTCTTTGGACCAAAATACTATGTCCTATCTTGATTGACTGAGCCGTCGAATCCGACAGATCTCATTTCTCTCTTAATTTTTTTTAGCATTTAATTAATATTATTATAATTTTTATTCTTTTTATTGTTGTTATTATTATTATTATTATTAGTAGTAGTAGTAGTAGTAGTAGTAATAGTAGTAGTAGTAGTAGTATTATTATTATCAATATTATTATTATTATTATTATTATTATTATTATTATTATTATTATTGTTACTATTATTATTATTATTATTTTCATCATTATTATTATTATTAACATAATTATCGTTATTGTTATTGAAAGCTTTGGATGAACGCAAAGACTTTAGTGCTGCAGGCTGGTGTGCTTTCTGCTGTGGCTGATCAGCCCCAGACGTGAACGGCAGCGACGCTGACAGACAAAGCAGACAAAGTCATCGTTTAGAATTGCCTGGCGTTGAGCAGCGTAACGTTCCTATCTTATTCTTCGATTTAAACAGGAGACTCATGTAAAGCCTACCTCATTCTAACACTGCGAAACTCCATCGTTTCACAAAAATATGGACATGCCCTTGAATCTTAATGCTCTATTCCATATGCCTATAAATTTACAATGTGATAAATCTTTCTACCTTAACATTACCAAGAATTGACTAGATAATTTACATTGCTCAAAACTAATCGGTAAAGACCTAGGAGATAACAAACACAGAACATGACATTCACGTAAAATAACACATGTCATCTGCGGCATTATAATTAATTTTTGAATGCCTCGGATCAAATTCAACACTTCATAATCATACCTGACAGTCTCTTATTCCAAACTCTACCTATTCATTTGTATTTCAAAAGAAAATGTATAGCATACAATATCTATTAATATCACTAATTAATTGCTGATTTGTTTTTAAATAACTTTAATGATATCGAGCTACACGTGTACAGGTAAATAAACAATAATTGTTATATTACTTGGAATTGTGTCAGATTTCTTAGTACAAACACAGTTAATATTAGTACATTGAGAACCATATACATTGATTGGTAGGCCTACATGAACATTTTTTTTTAAATATATGTTTTAACTCCAGTTGCCATTCAATAAGGGGAGAAAATGGTGAAGAGAGCAATCGTTAATTGTCTGTATCCTGAAATGCCCACCGTGTTCATCTTCAAATTGTCTTTATACTATTCGCGATATTACGTGTACCACTATTGCAATGGCACAACATTATATATATATATATATATATATATATATATATATATATAAACAAATAGATAAATAACAATAACAGTGCTCGAATAAGTACATGTTGCAATAATCGTATCAAGCATAGCTCAAAAACGAAAGGTTCCTTTATTTCAGTTCTATGAAGAAAAAAGTGTCTGGCGAGATTCGAAACTGCATCCGCTGGATTTTAAGGCGAGTATCATACCCACCGGACTACGGAAACCTACTGTATATATAAATTATGATATAATAGAGAACGTGTAAGCGATGTTTAAGGTATAACCACATGTATTTACCAAGGAACATGGTGTGGTAGGCTTAATTATTATTATAGTTCTCTGAGGGAAAAATAGAACACGCCCATGTTAAGAATTTAAACCAATAGCCATATTCTCTTCCGTAGAAATTATGACTGACAGCAAAAATACCATAATGGAGAGCACGTTATTAGGACAAAAATGTGTTTCTATTTTCACCACTGTATCCAGGCAATAAGTTATTTGCAATCATACGTGGGTCTATAAATACATAATGGAACAGTAAGCTCTTTAGATTCTAATAATATAAAACGAATTTACTATTTACTAATTTATAAGGTGTGTTTTGATAGACGGTTTGCATCTTGGAACCTTTTGTGTACAACTTTACTAACGCCAGTCAGTTACTTTCGATCCATAATGCTTTACGACAACGAAGAGAAAGTATTTTACTAGAGAGAACTTTTATTCAACTCTTTTGTTATTATACTTGCAATAATATCATAATATTAGTAGTGGTATTGTCAGTACTATTATTATCATCATCATCATTGTTACTATTATTATTATTATAATTATTATTATTATTGTTATTATTATTATTATTATTATTATTATTATCATTATTATTAATATTAATTTTATTTTTATATTTGATATTATTATTATTCTTAATCTTATCTTTATTATTATTTCAATTTTAATACTATTTACTATCATGCTTTACTCTACATTATTATTGTTTCAGAATCTTAAAGGCACATGCATAATTATCAAATAAGTTTACCATTATGTGTGCATTATGACAGGTATGAATAATGGAATAGTAGACACATATTGGGGGTAAATATATTTTCTTTTTGTCATCACTGTATCCTGGCATAATGAGTTGACATGCTAAATAAAGAATTTAAGCACCGGTTATACAATATATATATATATAATGGATATATATCATAATATTTCGTAATTTTGTTTTATATTTTCTAATCGATTTTTTATATATAGACCTAATAAGTACGTTTTCTATTTTTACCCCAGCCAATAAAGTATCAACATAACGTTCATTAAATTCAACCACTCCATTTCAGAATTTCGAAGAAGTTTGGCGGTGTAGAAGTTCGACATTATTGAATTGTTCTTTGATACAGGGCATGCTCGTATCTTGTAAATTATAGAAATGTTGGTAGTATACATGTTCGCAATCTACTTTGCAGTTTGTCAGACAGCAGCTGGAGACGCTGATTCCGACTCGCAGCCTGAAGGTAATGACTTTGAATGGGATTGGATTTATTCGGTGTAAAAAACCAATCATAACCCAACGAAAGCTTATTTCCAGTATGGTTCTTCTAATTTTGTTTACAATTTTGGAGACAATATCCTACTCTTTTCCGAAAATTGTACTGCGTTCTTTAACGTGGGCTTTATTGCATACTCGTTCAACTTTTTATAACGTCTCATCCGAAATACGATGGGTTATTGAAATTTACATTTCAGCCCTCCAGAAGCACAAATAGAGCAATGATGGAAATTGAATCGGGGAAAAAAATATCTCTACTTTTCATTTATAAAATCTAATAGGCCTAGGTATACTTGAGATCTTATGCAATTTTTAAAAAAAATGTAGAAGTTGTGTAGCCTATCAGTTAAATTAAAAAATATCCCTTCTGTAGAAAATCCTAAATAAAAAAAAAAAATAAATAAAAAAAATTATATATACTCTATGCCTTAGTGCTGTAAACTGTAATCAGCAGCGGATCCAGAGATGTCCGAAACGGGCGCCGAAAGTGGGGCCGATCGCGATAACACCACCATTGGGGATCCGGCGGCATGCACACGCAGAATTACTGTTTTCTAAACGCCCGAAAATAACCTCTGGTCGTTTTTTGGGAGATCATTTTTTTCCTTTTCTTTCTTCCTTTCTTTTTTTTCTTTTACTTTTTATCTTTTGTATTATGTTATTTTTACTTTCCAAAAGGGAGTGGGGACCGGCCAGCTCCGCTCTCCCTAAATTCGCCCATGATAATAACCTAAACTAACAGGAAGCCTACTAATTATTTCAATAGCATACGAGTTTTTCTTGTACAGTTAATACTTGTCACTTTCGGAAGGGGTATACCCTTCATTACTGTATTATTCCATGTTTACATGATTTGTAAGACCGTTCTGATATTTCTTTCACATAATAAATGCATAGGTGAATATATTTTATATACCTTATGGAAGAAGTTTAAGTTTTGCTCCTCTCTCATGACAATTTATTATTTATCAGTTATTCAGTCAAATTTATGTTATTGCTCTGTAATTTGAGTTTTAAATCTTGATATTAATCGTTTAAATAAGTTAAATAAGGTCGTAAAGAGCCTCTGGAATTGGGTCTAACAACATTAATTGTTAAGTTAAGTTGATTATGCAAGATGCAACACACGTCACTGCATTGTGAAATTATAAAAACAGTTCAATTTACTATAATATTATAGTTGCGATAAATAGATTTGTTGTATATATTTATGTCATCATTCAAATTTAATTAAAATACAACCTACTTAGTTTGTATATATTTACGTATGTGCATGATACATAAATAAATATTTATGTAAGTATTATAGCACAATTATACTTACTTAAAAACAACCAAATTAATCATCTAATTAGGTGGTATTACTTAAATGTATACAACATAATTATTATTAGGCTGCATTTACTGTGAGTAGATGCAGTATTATTTGTTATACCCAGAAGACTGGAGATCATACATCCTAGACACATGTACACCAGATCCATCTCGTCGGGTATCAATGGATGACTTTTAGTTTCTATGTAGCTGGATATTGGATAATTGCCTCATTTAAATAAATCCATATTATTCAGGGTTAACTTACCATATTTATTTGAGCCCCGCTTTGATTCCGCCTGGTCGCTAGCATACCGTACTCGCGCGAATAAGCGCCCAGGCGCTTAAAATATTTTTTTGCACTTTTTGAGGGGCGCTTATTCAAACGGGGCACTTATTCGAACGTGGCATTTATTCGAACGGGGCACTTATGAAAACAGAGTGGAAATTTATATATATAGATGAAAATCGAGGGGAACTTATTAAATTCAAGAGGCAAATTTGGAATGAAAAACGATTATATAAGGACATCAGGAAACCGCAAATTACGAATGGTGTTGCGGCGGAAAAGATAATCGTCCTGAGAGCATGGCTTGTCATGACAAGAATGTTGTGAGTACAGCATTACATAACAGAAGAATAGCAGATGAAATTAGTGGTGGTGGTTATACTTGTTGGCCATCGGCCGATTGAGATTAGCAGGATGGCATGATCATTGCAGGTTTTCTTGAAAACTCAGATGAGAATGTGTTAAAGGTGCAAATTGTCGGAAAAGGAATAGGACTAGGCTATAGACAAATGCAAGAAGATGAAAGTTGGAAATATACTGTCTGTCCAGGGAGCTCTCATCTGTCCAAGATGTATATCGTCATTTTGATATTGACTAAAGGAGAAATACTCCACACCTCAAATCATGCCAACATCCACTGTCCCCGGACTGATTGGATTATTGAGGAGGCGTTTATTTAAATTATTCAAAGGGGCGCTTATTCGCGCGAGTACGGTAACTTTGTCCAACAATAGCTCCACTTATCATCGCCATTGTACATAGGGCGGGGGAAAGAGGAGTATATATAGTATGAGGAAAAAACAAAAACAAAAACAAAAACAACAAGTGCGTGTATTATAAAATTGCGTCGATATAATAGTAAAGAGACACAGCATGCAGGAGTAAGGAAGATGTAAGTGAGTTTAGGCCTAAATAAGGTAAAAAAAAAATTAATGAAAAAGTATGAAAAACCTGAGCACATAAGTGCAGTGCGGCTGGCGATGAGATAAAAGGATGAAATGTAAGGAACGCCAGCCGTGCAAAAAAAAAAATATTGTTCTGCCCACCAATCATTGGATTTTTATTTTTTTTTTAGTTTTCTTTATTGTACTCGTATTATTTCGCAGTGTTAACACCCGAGTTTACCCAGAAATATGTTGCAGCCTGTCGATAACTACTGTAAATTTGAAAATCATATGTAAAACAAAACACTGATGTACAGTGTATATATTTTGACTTCTTGCATTATGTTTATAACTTAAATTTCGATAACAGCCTATGCTAGCTTTATCGTATACACAATGGAGTATCTGACCTATACTACTTTAATGTGAGAATATAACAGCCGGTTATAACTTCGTTTATTATGTCAAGCTTTTTTTTTTTTTACAGATAATAACTATTATATGGTACCTTTGATGGAAGCCACCAAAATCGAGTTCGAGCTTAATATTTCCAATCCTACGAATACATTCGTCTGTTTCTCATCAGTTAATAATGAAAGCATAGCCCTGCTAATTAGTGATCAACATAATGTTTGTTCAAATGATATAATAAATATCAGCAGAACAACAAATGATTGTAAAATAACAATAAACGAAACTGAAAATACTCATGACTGTAAAAATATAAGTAATATTCACATACATATTGAGTTCGAGACGGGAGAGCGTGGCGACCAGTTCACTGAAGAAACCGGCGACTTAAACATCAGATCAATTAAGCCCGATCAATTATACATCTATACGATTCGTCCGTGCAATTTAGGTATGAGTTGCATATAGCTAGGCATACACTGCGTTGTACAAACGTCGTCGTATGAATCAATATCCGCTCAATTTGAGCGCTTGACGGCAAGACGAAGCCGTCTGTTGATTCTCGATGGCAGACAGAGCGGATTGTCATCGTGTTTCGTTCTCAATGGAATCGCTCCGAACGACGGTCGTACGACGCAGTATATACCCGGCTCAGTAGAACCATATAAATTGTTGTTACAATTTTGTTATTTGTAATATTGTACATCATTTATCTCAGGAAATTCTATCCGAGGCTGTTATAATAGTGAGTGGAGTGGAAGTCGTTTCTAAATTTACATTAAATAATATGCTTTAATCAATTACATATAATTTGTCAATTAATTAGAAGCATTGAATTTTTTTAATTTTATTTATTTATTTTTTTGTTTTTGTTTTTGTTTATTTGTTTTTTTTTTTGTGGAAGGGCGAGGAGTTAAAACATTATTCATAATCAATATCTTCAACTCACCTTTCCATAAAACTGTTACTTTTTTATGTCATTATTTTGTTATGCAAAAATTAAAGCAGTTGACAGTAACAATGCAAAATAAGCGAACGGGGGTGAATATAGTCCTTGATCCTCGTTCGAGCTGACATGGATAACTAAATTTGTCATTTGAACAATCGATCATTTCTTCAAATTGGAGAAAACGTTATATAATATAATCACACAATTAAATTCAGCTTTTATAATACAGTGTTTTAAAAATGAATTGTTTGTTTAATCATCGAATGCTGTTCTAAATTAAGACAAAATATAGTTAATATTATTGATGTTCCGTTTTTTTAAACGAAAAACTTTATGGATGTATTCATTTTATAATCAAATACCGGTACAGTACTTAATATACTGTATTATCACCCTTAACATGGTTTAGTAGACTATTCTTTAATGGTTTTATTAATACAAAATCAAAATTTTTACAAAACTAAATACATTTTAAAGTAAATATAAATAAACAAAAACGTAAGGTCGTTGACAAAATATAATGGACGTAAAAGAATTTAGACTATAGACAGCTTCGAACATAATGATTTAAACGCAATTCTTAGTTGATTATGTAAAATAATGGGTATTATAGGCCTACATTTTTTCTTTAAACTGGTGATGATAATAAAAATGAGTCATATGCTATGTGGATTGAGTATTTTATACAGTGGTGTAACGCCTATGGGCTTTCAGGGGGCGTCATTGGCCCCAATCAAAATGGGTCTCGGGGTTACGGCTCCTCTCCTGCTCATAAAGACATGTACTACAGAGCTTGACAGTGTATAGAGACACCAAAAACTAAGCAACTTTAAAAAATGTAATTCCACGTAACACGCAAACAGTTGATTTTAACATGTTTGTAATGGGGGAGCCTCAATGAGGCCAAATGATTAGACGTAATTTTTTTAAAAAGTAACATACGCATGGTGATTACGATGCACGAATCACGATGTAAACATGTACTATGCAATCAAATTTCCTAGTTAGTCGCACACTTATTTATATTGCAGTATTTTTAGCACATCGTGAACGATTTACTTTAGACAAATGCATGCAATAGGGCTCCAACACTTTCTCGCCCCTTGTCTACTTGGCTGTTTGTAAGTCTCTAAAATCGCATCAATTCATTTCGTGAATTCTGCAGTATGTACTAATAAAATATTAATATTATTTGGTTTAGATTGTATATTTGGTCACGACAAAAAGTATTTTTCATTTCATTTCCTTTATTTTTTTTTACAGATTACATATAGGCCTACAAAAATGTTTAATAAATCAGCCAGACTTGATTACACAAAGTATACTAAAACACAGTCCAATGACTCTCCAAACCTAATCAAAAGACATAAACATTATAAAAACATTAAGCTTGGATAGAATCATTCGAAAATTTATGAATTAATATCAATGACTTTATTATTTTATATGTCTTGATGTATGTATTATTAATTAAGCAATTTGTAAATCTTGCAGGATCGGATCCGTGTGGAAATTCTTCATGCCTTGAAGGATGGACATGTAGCTCAACGAATGAAAATTATGAATGTGCGACAAACGGTGGCTATGAAAATAGTAAGTTTTCTAGAATCATACAAATTTGATTTTGTTAATGGTTTCTACTCGTGACAACAAGGACAACACCTGTGAGGTTCTGTGGTCCACCTTGTGCGGACCCAATTGTTCTTAAACCTATTAATTCATATCAATAAATGTACTATCTTATTGTGTCTTGATATGATGGAATATCAATTGACCAATTTGGTATTAACCATGTGTTTCTAAAGTTCAAAGTACGTAGGGAATTACCTAGTGACTCAGACACCCTGTTGAATCTGTTACTGGGTAAGCAATGCATCAATTAATCAAATTGGTTATAAATAATTATTTAATTACATATATATTTAAAATTTATTGTCAGATTTATTGGAATTCAGGCAACTAATTCATTCATGTTTTTCTGTTCCTTCCTTCTTTTTGGTATACAATGCATCAATTAATTAAATTGGTTACAATTTAATTATTTAACTACATACATTTTTAAAATGTATTGTCAGATTCTTTGGAACGATTTTTTTTTCTTTCTTTCTTAATTGTGTATACCTTTTTGTTTCTTTGAGAACGGTACCCCTTTTTACTTTTGAAAATCAAAAAAAAAAAAAAAATTAAATACAAACAAACATTGACCGATTTTTCAATCTTGCAGATCCGTGTGATGAAGAAATTCCACCCTGCCTTGACGAATTTGATTGCACTGCTAAATCAGTCCTCGAAACTCAACCTTCATATTCAGATTATATTTGTACATGTCCAAGTACTAAATCAGAATGTGAAACAAGTAAGTCTCTAGAATCATACTAATTTAATATTCTCTTACAGTAGTAGTTAAGAAACAAGTGAATAAAGTGAAGTGAAGTGAATCTGCCAACCGTTTGGCATTAGTAGCAATTTCAAATGTTGCCAGCAGAAGAAAAATCAGAAAAATACTAAGAAAGCAGAACCCAGTCTTCCTGCGGCTGATTTGGTAATAATGCAATTCCGGTAACTCGCAAACAGTTGTTGTTAGCTTGATTTTAATGGCGGAGCTTCAAAATGAGGCTAAATGGTTAGACGATTTTTTTAAGTATGCCAAACCTATTCATTGTAATTCCAATGCAAAAATCACGATATAAGCATGCACGAGGTAGAAAATTGTTCTAATTAAATTTATGTGGAAATAAAGCTGATTCTATTGTGACACGCATAGTCACATAGTTACATATAATAAGGTATTTTTAGCACATCGTGAACGTATACTTGTAATGCATGTAATGGGGCCCAACACTTTCTCGCCCCTGGTCCCTTGGCTGTGTTACGCAACTGTTTGTAAGTCTCTAGAATCGCATCAATAATTTTGTTTACTCTCCAGTATGTACTAATAAAATATTAATATTATTTACTTTCGATTGTATATTTTTTTCATAACAAATAGTATGTTTTTTCATTTTATTTCATTTATTTTTATACATACATAGGCCTACAAAAAAGGTTTTATTGATAATTCTGAATATTGTAATATACAGGATTATATGCGAAGTTGTAAGTATAAACAATATAGGTTATTACAAATTGTTTTAATGGTGCTAACACTATAATAATTACCGTAAATGAAAAACCCGAGTTCCTCTTTGCAATAAACACAAAACTGATATCACTGCAGCACATTGTAGGGTTGTAAACATTACAATCATGCAATAAGTTTTCCATTAAAGCAGTAAATTATATTATTAAACTACACCTAATGTGGAATGGTTCAATCCCTTAAAGTTGACATTTATAAAATAACTTTACTATATTCCATCTCATTTTTTAAGAGGATTAATATTAATAAATCAGCCAGTCTTGTTTACCAAAAGTATACTAAAATACAGCACAGTGGCTCTCCAAACCGAGTGAAAGACATAAACATAATAAAAGCAGTAAGGTTGGATAGAACTTTTTGAAAATTTATATCAAAAAATGTATTATCACATCTGTTTTGATGTATTATTAATTGAGCAATTTGTAAATCTTGCAGGCTCGGATCTGTGTGAAAGTTCTCCGTGCCTTGACGGATGGGCTTGCGAAAACTTTGAAACATATTATGCATGTACATCAAGTAGCTGTACCGAATCAGAATGTGAAAGTAAGTATAGAATTATACAAATTAATTTTGTTAAGGGTTTCGCCTTGTTAAATTAATGACATGTTATTTGTAAATGCTTTAGAAGCGTTTAAAAACCACAAAATTCAAATTTGTTTGTGGAGGTGGCGATGGGTTGAAACATCGGTCAACAATCATTATTTTTAACTTACTTTTCATACAAATTGTAATTTTGGATAATTGTTGTGTTATAAATTAAAGTAGGGATACGGTAACAAACGAAAACATGAGCTAAAAGACTCGAATATTGTTTTTAGATCAATCGGTCAATTTTCAGTAGCCGGAAAAGACATTGGTTTGTTCACATTTTGTTTCTTGCATACTTTTCCCAATCTTTTTGCACTGGGTTTTTCTGCCCTGCACTTTGGTCACTTCCCATGCTTAGGACTTTCCATGCTTTGCCGAAACATGGACCATATATCAAGGATGTGACTTCTAATATTTAGTTTCAATCTAAGGTGGGGTGTGCATGTGAGGACTAACTGAATTGATTTAAGTGCAAACAGTCACCAAAAACGGGTTAATTGACCTGAATGGAACTTTCGGGGAAGTTTGCTTTATGGTTTAACCAAGTTACAAGGAAGATATTACTATGTGTTGGGGACGATCCCGGTTAGGGTGTAAATTTTAGGGTCATTGTGAATTGCTTATCGTCTCGTTTATATATGGATGAAAATAAAACTTTGCAGAATAGTTTTTCATGGTCAAATGATTGACGATCCGCAGCTTATGCTCAAAAGGAAACATAAACTTTGATTTGATTTGATTTAAATACATTGCATTTCATAAGTAAATTGTTTGTCTTTCATCCACTTCTCAATTTTATTACATACTTAAATGTAGACTGCAATGGTGTCAACAAAAACACAAAATTCATTTGCGGAGAACCTTGTTCCTATAATCATTTAGGATTAAAGTGTAATCCAAGGCCTAGTAACAGTACATCAGGTGATTGCTGCTTTCTTTCCATAACTGAAGATCAGAAATGCAGTAGCCCTACTGAATCCCCGGAGGTAGAGAATGGTAAGTTTTACTTTTGAAATTATGTAATATAATGCATGCTTTAATGCATTTATATGTATTTTTTATCTAAGAAATTAACAGAGTGTACCGTACAGTAAAAATGCAAAAATAGGTATCGTTAAGCGCGTTGTACACACTATTATTACATCTCTATGCATTATAGTTTCATATAATTCAGAACGCAGTTTGTGATTATATTCACAATTATATATATAATTGTTATCTATAAATTTACTTGCGCGGGGTGTAACTCCAAGTATATTGGCGAGACCAATAGACACATACAAACACGGATCAAGGAGCATTTAGTTCGGGACAAGTCATCACACATATTTCATCATCTTCAGAACTCAGTTAAATGTCAAAACACATCTAATCCAGACTGTTTTACTATTCTTGACTATTCTTAAACATCCAGAGCTTATGTACTTTATGGCACGCTTTTATTGTGTACTAGGTCATGATGTGCCAAACTTACTAATACATTTTCTATTAACTGGGTTCCCAATAAATTGCAATAATTTTTAATTGTTTTAGGTTTTACTGTCTTCACTACAAATCTTATTATGCAGATGGTTTTTACCGGGACAGCAGTTCTAGTCCTAGTTATTGGATGTATCTGTGTTTTAATGGCTTTCGTAACAAAGCCATCGAATAGAATCAAACCAACTGGAGAATATTAAGAGTATTCTTATCGTATTTAACGTAAGCGCAGACTATCGTTTCAACGAGCTTAAACAAAGCGAACATTAAATTGAATTGATACAGATATTTAATAAATATAAAGAGTTTAAACCACGATATGTTTCGATGGTTCAACCATCATTATCAAGTGAAAGTAACTACTGCTAAACATTAAGCTTCTATAGCTAGGGAGTCATACAAGAATAAGGTGTTCGACCAAGGGGAAGACAGGCATATACATGATATATGCCTCATATACATGAGGCATATATATATATATATATATATATATATATATATATATGAATCTAAAAATATATATGAGATGTATAAATAGAGAGATACAGTATATGTAGGAATATATAACCTAACATCTAAACAACACATTTATAATAGCGGCACAAACATATCTATACTGTAGTAAAGAAAAACGTTTGAATGTCACCTCGTGCAGCTCTCTGAGATGCAAATGACAGGCTCCTTATGGAGACATAATGAATGTTAGATAAATGTAAACTAAATTGTGTATTTAATCACAATTATGTAGCATACTATTCAGAATATTTAAGTCGCCCTCGTGACGTCATTTTGTATGTATAATTGCGAATATAATTAGTTATCAGAATACCTTGTTAATACCTTTTTGTAACGTGACGGGTATTTTAGTTGTTGGATACCTTTGTGGGACTCTTATTCAAGAGAATAGAGACCATCAGTGTGTGGCGCTTAATATATCTTATTAGAGTGTTAACGTGGTATTGCACATTTTGCCTTGGTGTAACGTTAGTATTATTTATTTTTAACATCGGTTATCTGTTTCTAGTGGTAGAAAAGTACTCGAGAATGAGTACAACAGAAGGGGCGGAAATGGTATAGAGTGATATAGGCCTACATAGGTAAGGTATCATCATAGTAATGGATATAACTTGTAGCATCCCACCTTTTCAGTACAAGTACACTGTAGTAGCTCTGATGATATCGCATAATAGAGTCATGAGGTGACGCCTGCTGAAAGTTATGATGTATTCATAAGTATCTTATTACGTAAACTTATAAGGCACTATCTTACTTTGCATTTTTGAATAAACATACCCATCGTTAATGAATGTTAATTAGAATAAAATGAATAAGTATGCATGTACTTCGAATTGGTTGGTATAAACGATTTCTAAATTCACGCTTAAATGTCTTGTGATTTTTATGTGCAACAGAATAAACGAAATAAAAAAGTCGTCAGTATTAACGTTTTTTGTAAGGAAAATCAATAATTATATTGCTAATGCTGCTGATGATTATGATAAAGTTGATAATGATGATGATGACGATGATGACGATGGTGGCGGTGGTGATGATAATGATGATGATGATAATGATAATCATTATGGTGACGGCGGTGGTGTGATAATGATGATGATAGTGAAGATAGTGATGGTGATAATGAAAATGTTTAATAATAATGTTAATAAAAACATAGATAATAATTAATAATAATGATCATGATTATTATTACCATTGTCATTTTTATTCTCATTCATCATTATCATTTTATCATCACCATCACCATTAATATTGTAACCTTTGAACTTTCAAGGACTCTATTATGGGATGTTCCCGCGGAGTCTCGCTCTCTCGTGGGGGTTCGTCGACTAGCCAAGCTAATTTTATCTATATCACGTGATTGATGACGAAATGAATGTCGCCCTCAATGGAAAAATTTACGAAGTCAATTACACACCCCCCTGTAAAATTCCAAAGAATTTTACACAAGTTACTTATTAGAAATGGAGGCACGATAAACAATACATATCTTGACAATGGGTCGTTTCAGGATATTGTTATTCACTTTCACGTCTACACTTCGAACTCGGTCATCTTTGTTCTTATGGACTTGCATAATTCTGCCCAATGGCCATTTTCCTCGTGGTGTTGTTTCATCCACTAAAAGAACGATGTCATTTACTCTAACATTCTCCTTCGGTGTGTTCCACTTATTTCTCCTTTGTAACAATGGCAGGTACTCCTTCTTCCAGCGTCGCCAGAACAATGAGGCCAAATACTGCACCTGCAGCCAGCGCTTCTTTCCATAAGGCATGGAGAGGTCTGAATTATTGACTGGAGCTTCTGGACCATTCTGAAGTAGGAGAAGGTGGTTTGGTGTGAGCGGCTGCTCATCTCTTACATCTTGAGACATGTCTGTCAAAGGTCTGTTGTTTAAGATGCATTCCACCTCTGTCAGCACTGTGACTAAAACATCTTCCTTAACTGTCTGCTGCCTAAGGACACCATGCATTATTCTTCTGATAGATTTGATAAGGCGTTCCCAAACACCTCCGAAGTGGCTCGCATTTGCAGGACTGAAGTGCCATTCAACCATCTTGGAGTGAGAGAATCGTTCAATCTTGTTGTCGTCTAGTGATTTAATGGCTTCCCTTAACTCGCGCTCAGCGCCATGAAAATTGGAACCATTATCGCTATATATTTTTTCCGGCTGACCCCTTCGGCACATAAACCTTCTTAACGCGTTAATGAAGGAGTCCGTATCAAGATTATTTGCCAATTCTATATGAACAGCTCGGCTCACCAAGCACGTGAATATACAGCCGTATCTTTTAACTACACATCTCCCCTGTTTTACGCCAATAGGCCCAAAATAGTCGACGCCTACAAAGGAAAAGGAAGGTTTTCCATCAGTAATTCTCTCTGCCGGTAAGTCCGCCATCATTTGTTGGGCTGGCCTAGCTTGATATCGTTTGCATACAACACAGTTTCTCAACGCGCTTCTAACAGCGGAGCGACCAGTCATTAGCCAGAAACGCTCGCGTATGGAGTTTAAGGTAGCAGCCCATCCGCTGTGCCCTACTATCTGGTGATGATGCTGAATGATAAGTCTTGCGACGTCTGACTTGGCTGGTAATATAATCGGATGTCTTGCATCTTCTGCTACACTTGCCTGTGATATACGCCCTCCTACTCTTAAGAGGTTTCCCATCAAGATAGGTGTCAACTTTGTAAGGCGCTTGTCAGTTCTCCAGTTCTTTAATTCGGTTTTCTGTACCCAAGTAAGTATCTCAGTCTCACTGTGTTTAAGTTCAGATACAGTCAGATTTCTATTATTCTCTGCTTTGCCTGTCTTGATTCTTTTCACAAAGCGTAGCACCCAACCATAGACTCCGACCAATTTCGACCAAGATGAGTATCTTGCTGTTAGTTCAGTTAGTATGGTGTTATTATGTACAGTTATCTTGTTAGTAAATACTGACAGTTTCACCTCTGCATCACCTGAGATGTCAACTTCAACAGTGTGACTGTTCGGCCATTCAGATTCACTTTCAGACAAGAAATCAGGTCCAGTCAACCACTTGTTCATTTTGAGTGTGCCTCTCGATCCTTCATCGGACGGGTTATCTTCACTCCTAACATGTCGCCATTGGTCAGGATTCGATGCTTCTCTGATTCTTGTCACACGGTTCGCTACAAATGTTTTGAATCGTTTGTCTTCATTCTTTATATACCATAAGACAATCATGGAATCACTCCAGAAGGTCGTTTGACCAAGCTTGAACTGTGGCGAGATTGCTTTTCTCAATATCCCATCTAATTGCACTGCTAAGACAGCACCAAGCAGCTCAAGACGGGGAATGGAGACCTTCTTCAATGGGCTGACTTTAGCTTTACCAATGATGAAACTTACTGCGATGTCATTGTTGTGAGAGATTGTTCTAAAATAAGCTGAAGCAGCATAGCCTTTCTCCGAAGCATCGCAGAACACATGCGGCTGAATTATCTTTGTATCTTCTAGTCTGACCCAACGAGGAACTTTTACATCTTGTAGATTTGACATGTTGGACAACCATTCATTCCATGTGCCTATTTCATCTTTCGTCAAGGATTCATCCCAGTCTGAACCACGTCTGCACACAGTCTGGAGTAGAGTCTTAGCATAAAGGATGTATGGTGCGGCAAAACCTAAGGGATCATAGATCGAACTTGTCGCTGATAACAAACCTCGTCGAGTAGTTGGATGTTCTTTAACTTCTGCTTGAAACTCAAAGTTGTCGTTCTCCGCATCCCAGCACACGCCTAAAGTTCTCTCAGTGGGCAATTGGTCTAATTTCAAATTCACAGATGGAGATCTCTCTGACTCGGGGATTGAATTCAGTACTTGGCGATCGTTACTTAACCATTTCGTGAGACGAAAACCTCCATGTTGCAAGATATCTCGTAGTCGTTGAACCAATTTAATACCCTCACCAGTTTCTCTGATGGATGTCAAACAGTCATCTACATAAAACCCACTTCGTATCACATTAACAGCTCTCTTACCAATGTCATCTACTTGCACCTTTTCATTGTCGTCAGCAGTCTTTCTTAAGGCGAAACCAGCACAACATGGCGATGACGTAGCGCCGAAGAGGTGGACTGTCATACGATATTCGCTCGGAGATTTACTGGTGTCGCCATTCTCCCACCATAAGAAGCGAAGTACATCTCTATCACAAGGCTGCACACGGGCTTGATGAAACATAGACTCTACATCAGCTACCAAGGCAACTCGCTCTTGTCGAAACCTCAAAAGTACTTCTACCAGGCTGCTTGTAAACTCTGGACCCTTCAATAAATTATCATTCAAAGACGCTCCTCTCCATTTGGCAGCACAGTCAAAGACGACCCTCACTTTGTCCGGCTTGCGTGGATGAGTCACCGGATGATGGGGTAAGTACCAAATATTACCTTCATCGCCTTTCTTATCTGGAACTGGCTCAGCATGTCCTTTTGATATGTATGACTGCACTGTCTCAACATACTTTCTCTTTAAGTCGTCGTTCTTCTCAAGTTTTCGCTTTAAACTTTCCAACCTACTTTCTGCCATTGGTTTATTGCAGGGTAGCTTGTGGTCATCGTACTTCCAAAGAAGTCCCATCTCATAGTGGTTATCTTGTAGTGTCGTTGTGTTAGCCAAAATACCTCTGGCTCTCTTGTCTTCCACAGAATCTTCTGCTATCTCTAACGCATTGTTATCTAGCTCCCATGTACTTTTAAGCTGATCCATCAACTGCTCATTCGACACTGAAACAGAGATTCTGTTAGATGTTAGCTTCTGTCTAGTAGTATAAGCATTACCAGGCCCCATAACACACCAACCAAGGAATGTCTTAATTGCATAGGGTTCTTTGACTCTACCACGTCTCTCATCTTGGACCCAGAAAGCTTCAGGGGTGTCGGCACCAATAAGCAAGTCGACTTCTAAATCAGTGGAGATATGTATTGGTAGGTTCTTGAGATGGTCCCAGGAACATACAGTAGATCTTCTGGTCTAGGAATAGAATCTTTGTCGGCCGGTACCTTCTTTACTGTTAAAACCTTTAAAGACAATTCACTTTCCTCGCGTACACCACTAACCTTTACATCAAAGGAGATGCCAACTTTGTCCTCGTCACCATTTACAGTTGTCGCTGTGTACCGCACTCTTTTTCCAGATGCTCCCAATTTCTTCCGCAAGGATTCGGAACATAAGCTTGCATCGGAGCCGTTGTCTAACAAGGCCAAAGTTCTTACTGTATTCCCATCACTCGATGTTACCTCAACTGGAACAGTCATTAAGTACACGTTTCTGCCACTGACAGCTGCACAGGACTTAACATGGTCTGGTTTTGTAGTTGGTGGATGCAATAATTCATGATGTTTGTTGGAGTTACATGATCTGCATTCAACTTCTCTACGGCATTTTGATACCATATGACCTGGCATCAAACATCTGAAACATAATCTCTTTGATTTTACAGTTTTAAGTTTATCATCATAACACATATCATAGAAATTTTTACATGAGTAGATTCGGTGATCTTCACCGCATGAAAAACATGAAAGGCCCTTAGTAGTCTTAACTACATTCGTTCTAATCTTTGGCCTTTCAGACTCTCTAAATACATTACTCACACTAGCAGGCTTGCCAACACTTCGGCCAAACATATTGCACGATACCTCAGCCTGCTTCTCTATAAAGGTCAACATGTCTAAAAATGTTGGTTCTCTATCATCTAATATGGTGTGAGCAACATTTGCCCACTTATTTTGTAAGACAGTAGGCAATAATGACTGCACCTTTAACAGATTACTTGTACTGTTTAGGTCGCTAGTGTATCCCATCTGTGTTAAAGTGACGTGACATTTTTTCATTACACTTACTAATGACCAAAGAGCGCCACCATCTCCTATGTTTATTTTTTTACGATTTAACATGTCAGACATCAATGCGCTTAAGATAATGTGAGGTTGGCCAAATTGTTTTCTTAAAATCTCAAGGGCCTTATCATAACCTCCTGACTCCATTAATGGGCAGCTCTCTATACAAGTACGAGCCTTATCCTTGCATAGCTGAAGGAGATATTGCAGTTTAGTGTTATCATTTGATAATTTCGAAGCTACATTAGTCTTAAAGTTATTTACAAATGTCCAATAATTGACCGGATTTCCGTTAAATTCTAAGACCTCTGCCTTAGGTAACTCAAGAGCTAACTTCAACTCATCTAGGCTATTTAGACTATCACTACTAGTAGTAGTTACATTAGATACCTGAGTAGTTTCTTTTACAGGCTTATTCTTGGTGATGAACTTCTTCGCCAAATTCTTTACCTTCCAGAAGGCTTCCTGCGAAGACTCCATCCACTGTTCTTCAATTTCAAACTCGTCATCGTCGAGGAGCTCACCTAATTGCTGGTGTGCCTTCTCTACCTCACTGAACGCTTCCTCAGATTTCGCTAACAGTTCTGTTACAATCTCGAGGTCTGCATCATCTTCTTTTAGCTGCGTACTCAGCATGTTCAAACTACGGGTCATCAACGCTTTCTTGCTTCTACGATGATTCTTTAACCCTTTCTTCCTGGCTTCTGATTCCTCCATGCTTAGTTTTTTCACTGTAGTCGAACCGCAGTATCGACTTAGATTTGGCGATTGAGGGCGTCAAATTAGACAACGCAGAAAAACAACAGACGAACAACCATATGCATATCAACGTGGTAGTAACTTTATTACTCTCTGTCTGATGTCTGATCTGGTGAAAAAACTATGACGCAACAATCCAAATAACTGATTTAACAACCATCAGTCCACATAATACTGTACATCTCAAATGTGTACCTTCACTGTAAATAAAGTAATAAGCTTGTATAAACATAAAGAGTGTCATAGCACAAAGCATGTAACAACTCAAGCAAATATCTGATCATGATATCATAATCTTAATAAATGTAATAAATCAAATAAAGCACTCAAATAATACAGTGCAATCAATAGCGTACTAAATAACTGTAATTTATAATCAAGTATATTGTATAAAAGATAATACGTAATGTATCAAACACTACAACTAGGCACAAAGCCTACGTCGATCTCACTATCGCAATTCTATGGGCGCACCGTGACCGCAATGTAAACAAATAGATAAACAATAATAACAGAGCTGAAATATAAACATTATAATAATAATAACAATGACAATAATAATAATAATAACAATAATAATAATAACATTATAATTCAATTGTATGAACATAAGTGTCTCTGGCGGGATTCGAACCTGCAACCTCTCGCTTGTCAGGGTGAGTGCCATGTCTGTTATACCACGGAGACCTATAGGATATACTTGAAGATTTAACCCCCAAGTGACTGAAAGGCTCACGCATAGTGGAGCTACATGCATAGATAAACCCCCGTATAGGTCGCAGCTTGGAAAGCATAGTACAAATCATAAATAAATAGATAAATAATAGTAACAGTGCTCAAATAGCCACATGTTGTAATAATCATATCAAGCATAGCTCATCAACGAAAGGTTCCTTTATTTCAGTTGTTGTTGTTGCCGGGAAACCTGCAACCTCTCGATATAAAGGCAAGTACCATACGCATTAGACTAAGGAGACCTACATATAAAATATGGTATAATGGAGAACGTGTAAGCGATGTTTAGTAGAACCACACGTATTGTTCCAGGAACATGGCGTGATAGGCTTACACATTATTATAGTCATTTTGAAGGAAAAAAAGTACACGCCCATGTAAACAAAATTAAGCACTAGGCATATTCCCTTTAGAAATTATGACTGACAGCAATAACACAATATTGAGAGGAGATAATAGGAAAATTATGTGTATGATTTCACCAATGTATCCAAGCAATAAGTTATTACATTTGCAATACGTGGTCTATGAACAATACAATCTAATAGTGTAAGACGGAATACTATTATTAATTCACAAGGTGTGTTTTTATAATCGGGTTACGTCTTGGGAACTTCATTTATAAAACTTTTCCAACAAAAGTCTTTCTATAATAGTTTGTCATGGTGCAATAAAAATGATTACATTTTGGTGACGATCCAGAGTAGGGTGTTGATATGTGGACTTTTCAATGGGTGACGTCTTAGACCAATACCAAAAGCTGACCAACTGATCTAAATGAAACTTTTAGGAAAGTTTAGCAAAGTTACAAGGAAGAAATTGTTGAACTTTGGTAAAGATACTGATTCAGGTTTGATCTTTCGGGTCATTTTAAGTTCTAACGTCCCATACCTAAATTTCTCAAAAACTGACTAATGGATTAAAATATAATATGGTGTGTCATGGTCAACTAAAGACGCTCCTGAGTAATGTGTGGACATGAGGGCCATGTAACGGTAGACGGTGTAGAAAACTGATCAACTGCAGTGGCGGATTCAAGGGGGGAGGGGGAAGCCTGCCCAGTCCCCTCCTAAATTATTCATATTAATTTAAAAACATGGAGATACAAATAAAATTATATTCAAATTTTAAACTGGAGAGTGCAATTTCTGGCCATCTAGATGTGCCATAATCACAAATTGTCTTACCTCGGGGCTGAGGTGGCATATATCCTCCATCTGAGAAAGTACCTCTCCGGTCCGTCCCCCCTCTAATTTGAAATTCTTGATCCGCCACTGAACTGATCTAAATTAAACTTTCTATAAACTTTAAATATGCTACAAGGAAGTATCTTTAAAATATTAGTGACAATCCACATTCTGGAGTGAATTTCAGGGTCATTACAATTGCTGAGGTCTGAGGTCCCATAAATAAATATCTCTAATTTATAAATGGATCTAAAACTTTCCAGAAAAGTTTAACATGGTCCTATGAAGAAATGATTAAATTTTGGTGACGATCCGGAGTAAGGTGTTGATATGAGGACCATTTAAATAATTTCATAGCACATTTGATTAAACTATATAAACGCAATTTACGTTTTTTTAAAGTGTTTAAATCAACTGCAGCTACGTTAAACGCACAGTTACCGTGAAATGCATGAACCATGAGGTCGTGGATGTTGTTTGTCATGCCTTTCAACTCGGCTTCGATGCCTATAACTACAAATGCACTGGCCTATGCAGGGTTGGCTCATATAGCGCACAATGATATGAGTCTCAATATTATCATTGCTATTACCATCGCAGCTCAGTTCTAGTCTCACTAACATCGTGTTAGTTGTGAATTTTGTTTTCATTCCTTTTTTTGTCATCTTATAATTCTTTTAGCTTAGTATTTAGATTTTATTTTACTTTATACTTTTTAATTACATTTCTGTTGCAATTTCAACATCACTGTTTTCATTATGTCAAAAGGGAGAAGTCGTTCTGTTGAACAAACAGACACAGTAAGTCTAGTTGCTGTTATCGTTGTTGTTGTTGTTTCTGTTGTTAGTGTTGAATTTTTATTATTAATATTGTTATTATTATTATTATTATTATTATTTTCACTATTATTATTATTATTATTATTATTATTATTATTATTATTTCAATTTTCTTACTATTGTTCCATCATAATTTACTTCTAAATGATTATTGTTTGGATATTCAGAATCCTAGAGTCACATCATTTAAGCATAATTATCTAATAAGTTTACTATAATGCGTGCATTAATACGGTCATAAATAATGGAATAATAGACGAGTAAATATGTTTTTTTTTGTCATCACTGTATCCAGGCATCATGTGTTTACCTTCTAAATAAATAATTTAAGCAATGCACTCTAACATTAAATAATGAAGACGATTAGACGATATCTATTGGTAGTCCAGATAAAATTTTAATTTATGATTTTACCACGAAAGTCGGTGTTCTATTTTACGATCCATAGCAAGACTCTACTTAGATGAGGACAGACTATACTTTATGTTTTGCTTTTAAGGAGCTTAGTATTTAATAAGGTAAAAACCTGTTGTTGTTGTTATGATTATTATTAATATTATTAATATTAATATTATTGTTATTATTATTATTTATATTATAATTAATTCAATAAATAAAATTATACTAGTTGATAAATAATAAATAATTTATTATTATATTTTGGTTACGATAGAAATATTAGGCCTATTGAACATACAGGATAAAATTATATAGGCCTAAAACAGTGTATACACAAACGTGTTTGCCACATTTGATAGGGGTACACCCTCATTGGGCCTTTTATGCTAATATGTTTACATGATCTGTAGGGCCAATTTGATATCGGGTGCGATGTCCAATTTCCCCGACGATAGCATGAGTGAACGGGGCCACGGCAGCCCAGAACCACTCAAATGGGTTGCGAGGGGATAGTCCTCGAAAGGTAGACCAAACTAAAAGATAAATGCACTGACCTCCGTAAAGTCGATTTTGAGTTGATGGGATTTATTCGTTGTAAACACCAAGAATAACTCAACAAAGTCTAAATAAACTTAATCATAAACGTAAATCATACACTTTAAAAATGTTTGTTTAAGATTTTTTAATGTTATATGCCATGTGTTAATAAAAAATATAAACAATTACATAATTGCAGCCGCGAAGAGAAGGAGGTCTAGGGGACATGCCTACCTGTTAATTTTTGCCCTCGCCCCCCCCCCCCAATCCCAGTAAAAATCGAAGTGATAATTGAGTATGGAAAAAATAACCAATGAACAAAGTTTACTTCTTGAAATTTATATTGGCCCTATGCCTAATACAAACTCGACCAGATACATATTCACTTTCATGAGTGATCATTATTCCGACACCAAAACCTAGACTAGGAATTAAACGGAATGTTGTTCGAGGAGAGTTTTTACTTCTAGAGGTTATTGCGTATAGTCAACTGCTCTCTATGTTATTCCTGAGATGTTTTAATCTATAAAAAATTTCATGAATATCTGCTGTATCTAGATAAACCATATTCCAATCTTCAAGATGTGGCTGGGATAATCTCGGAATCGTGCGCAGGGGCGGATTTAATAATGATAATTGATTCTTTTCACTCCTCAGCCCCAACTATGGTGGTTCCCTAAGTCATGCAATTGATTGAATAATGACATAAACATTTTATATCTTTTTTTACTATAAATTGTTCATACAATTTGCTCCATTCTCTGTCCACTTCAATGTAGGCCAATATTCAAGGTCGTTCTAAATTTTACTATTGTAGTACTTAAAAGCCGTAAAACATCTCGTATATTTTCAAATTGATATCTACTAGACAACTAACATAATTAACACCATTAATTCGAATATTATTTTTGTTAGACCTATAGGCTTAATCTTTACGGGGTTTTTTTCAGCGACTACCATTCCATTGTTAGATAGAGATTTAATCAAGTTTGGCAGTGTAGAAGTTGGTAACCATTGTATAAACTACTCTTAGAACGAGTGCTCGTATCTTGTATAAACTATGAAAAAGTCTGTAGCATATATTTTCGCAATTTACGTTTACGTGTGTCAAGCAAATGCAGGAAAATAAAGCTATTTATATATATATATATATATATTTATATATATATATATATAAATTTAATGGCAAATGGGATAAACCCATAAAAACAACGAGCAGCCACATAAATGCAAATAATAATATAAAGTTTAAACGGAACAG